ACACTGGAGCGGACTCAGGGGCTGGAGCCGACACTGGAGCTGGCTCAGGGGCTGGAGCTAACAGACTTTTCCCCCTCAGATTCCTCCTTTGGTTTGAGGTGAGGGAGACAAGCTGCTGTCAGCTGAGGGCTTGGGAGTGAATTGGCCATCGGACTTGACTCTGGAGGGCCCAGTGGACTTGGCAACGAAGCGGCCAGCGGGCTTGACTGCGGATCGGATGCTCTTCAGACACCGGAGTATCCCTTCCCTCCAGCATAGTCCAGTGGTGTCTGGGAGGTCGACGGGGCGATGGTTGGTCCCGATCCAGAACAAAAAATTCAGTGTGGCATCGTCCAATGACGTCAAGATGCCCAGCCTACAGAATTCCCTGGCATACTCCACAAAAGGAAGGTCCTTACGGGCTAGGACAGCGAATATCACAACAGTTTCCATAATCATGAAAAAAAACAAAAAACGTTCAAAAACGGGGGGAAGGGGCGCCGCTTACTGTTATACAGTTCGGTGTTCTGTCACGATCTGGCTACTGTGTTGGAGCGAGGAGATGCGGAGACGTGGGCGAATTAACGAGAACGAGAATTAATTGCTCAAAAGCAACAAGAACAACTACTATAAAATAAAAATGATTAACAGGCGCAAGCATAGGCAGAGCGGGACAAAACAACATATATTTCTGCCGGAGCGGGCGGGATGGAACCATGTGAATGAAGGGGGTGGGGTAATTTTGCCGGAAATGCAGAAATAAGCAGTAATTTTTTTTTATTTGTAACTCTTTGGTAGATACATTTATAATTTCTATTACATTACTACTCGTACTGTTACTACTAATAAAACAGATCTCTGGGGGCCCCAAAAGTGTGTGGGCCCTTATAATTGTCCTAAACCCCCCCCCCCCTTAGCGGCGCCCCTGACTGGTGTACATGTACACATTTATAATAAAAGTTTTCGTGAGTATTTAGTGCATTCTGAGAGAAAGTGCAGCTCTGTCTGGATTGTGTTTTGATGGCAGTGTGGACGCAGCCTCTCTTCATGTGTCTCCCGTCTCTGTCATGAGCTCGAGTCCACTGAGTCTGTTTCTGCTCGAGGAGCCTCTTCAGTGTGTCATCTGTTACTGAGCACAGAGAGGCTGCCATAGTCTACTGGGTTTTTAGGGCCAGATAACATTGCATCTTACTTTCCCAATGATTGATGAAATGGTGTTTCATTGGTGCTGTAATTTGGCTGAATGTAATGTGTTTGGCAGTATTGTTCTGGTCCAGATCAGTGTGATGGGGGTCAGTGGATATATACATCAGGACTGAAGCTCTCTCTCTCTCTCTGACTCTCTCGCTCTCTCTCTCTCTCTCTCTCTAGTTTGTATTCTATGGTGATCGAAAACGCTGGAAGGACCCCCATTTAAGGAATATATCGCTAATATAAAATCAGCAGTACAATTTAATAACGATATCACTCGTAACACTTCACAGAAAGGCTCTTTAAAAGCTTTTATTAATCATATTGTAAAAAAAAAAAAACTTTTTGTATATAATGTCAAACATATTTGATTGGATTTTAAATATTTCTAATTATCTCAGAAAATAGTTTTATTCTGCTCATACCCTTGAAAATGTTTTTAGTTTTTAGGAAAATGGTTAATTAATTTTCTGATTTAAATTGTAATTACCTTAACAAATTATTTTAATGAAAAATGAAGGTAAACCGAAAATATGATGTAAAAAATAATTAATTGAAAAAAATAAATTAAGTTTAGCTTTTGCAATGAAATAAGCAATAGAGGCAGACACACACACACACACACACACACACAGACACACTCACACTCACACACTCTCTCACACACTTACACTAACACACACTCACACACTCTCACACACTTACACTAAAAGTGTAGAGAAGAGGAAGAAGAGTTTGACACGCTGATGAAGGTCCATACCCAGACGAGACTGACGTCAGCTCCACAGCATTAATGGCCAAAGCTCTCAGAGCACGACTGCAGACATAAAAATGTGTTGCGCTGTACGGGAGAACGAAAGAAACGAGCATCTCGTGAAGTGAGCGATGCTGCGATCATGACGACGAGCGCTCTGGGAAACGCTTCTTCAGGCGCAGCTGATTCATGAAGTCACTGAATCCCAGCAGATTCCTCTTCATTTGAAGCTGTCAGACGTGTTGGACTGTTTGGAGCACAGATTTCAGTAGAAGCTGCTTTGTGTTTTGTTGTGAAGAGAAATCATTTCGGCTTAGTATAGTTAGGATAGTCGTTGAATAAAAATATAATTTGACAGATAAAGTCGTCTGCTTCGCTGCCAAGCGTCTGCCTTTATCAGCACAGGTTTTAATTAGACATGTTCAGTCAGAAAGGCCAAAAACATAATTATTATTCAACAAATAAGTGATTCTGACAAATCATTTTAAAAAGCGAAGTGATGGAGTAAACACATGTGCGAGCGTGTGTTGGTTTGTTAATCGTTACAGAACCGCAGCATGATAGAAATACACTATTAATCAGAGCTTTTAGCAGGAAAATGTGTCCGAACTGCTGAAGAGACGTGAAACGAGCTGCTCTGATGCTCTGATTCGCCACAACAATGGACAATCTGAGCCACATTTAAACACAAATACTGAGCACAAAATACGGAGTGAAGGGGTTTAGAGTGCTTGCTTTAAAAACACAAAAAGGAAAGAATGAACTGTGCTTCTTAACTAAAGCTAACATCATCAAAAAAAGAAAAACACTTTCATTACTTAAAACAAATGCTAACTGTACTAAACTAAAACTAAAATAAAAATTTATACAAAGTATATAGACATATTTAAAAACAACAAAAACTGATAAAAATGACAAACAAAAATTGCTAAAATTTAAAATTAACTTGGAAAATAAAAAAAATAAAAATATAGAAAATATATTAAAGACATAACTAAAATCTAATTCAAAAACGCATCAAGAACGCTGCTTTTCTTAGTCTTTCGTTAACGTTATTGAGCTCAAAGCGTGCTCTTGTCAGTATCTTGTAGAGTGTGTTTGATTCCGCTCAGCGTCTCTGGTGATTCAGTGGTGAAGCGGGGTGTTCTGTGTTCAGCTGCGCTCTAAAGAAGCGTTTCCTCGCACCCGGAGCCGCACAACCACAACAACTCCTTAATCCAGTGTCTCTGCCTCTCTCTCCCGTCTCTCTGCTCCTCCCGGGACATCTGTCTCTGTCTCTGTCTCTGTCTCTCCGCCTCAGGTCACCATCTCAGTGGACGGTATTCTGACCACCACCGGATACACACAGGAGGACTACACCATGCTGGGCTCCGATGACTTCTTCTACATCGGAGGAAGCCCGAACACGGCCGATCTGCCCGGATCTCCCGTCAGCAACAACTTCATGGGCTGCCTGAAAGACGTGAGTCGACTGATCATCAGGAACTCTCTGATTAACCCCTGAGCTGCTGGAAACCCTCTGATCGGGTGTTTCTAAACACCACCAAGTGCTTGTAAACCTCTCATTATCAGGAAATCTTGGGTATGATCTTTTCTCAGCTGGTTTCCTTTCAGTTAGCACAGATCTGAGCTCATGCACCTCAGTTTTTGAGCGATAAAGACATTATCTGTGGATAATTTTGCCAGAGTTCGCTCAAAAAGTGAGGCACAGATCAATGAGGCCTAAGATCAATCAGCTCCAAAGGAAACATGACAGCTGTGCTAACTGAAAGAGAACAGGTTGACAAAAAGATTCGGTTATAACAGTACAATGAGAGATTCAATTTTTAGTAGGCTTGTAATTTATTACAAGGGCTAACTGTTTGAGTGACGGCAGGTGGGCGGAGTGTTTGAAGTCTGTATTGCTGTCATCACTGTAGTAATAATAATAATAACAATTAAATTAAAACGAGCTAACGCAATTGCTGAACATTTTGTCACTCCTTCATCTTATTGTGCTTTATCCACTAAATATGCAAAATCATGTAAAATTCACAAAAATCCATTAGTGCTGGGACTAATGTTGCATTGACTGAAACTGGGCAATGGATTTCTAGTTCCCAGCAGCAGCTCTGCATATAACATCGAATTAATTTTGAAACTTTGAAACTAAGTGTCATTTTGTGTGATTTTTTGGAGTGAAGAGAGAGACCTGCAGTTATGTTTGACATTTAAAAGAGTTTGTGGTTCCCATTGTGCTGAAGAGTCTCTACATGAATGAATTCTACACAGTTATTAATATTGCTCACTGTTTTAATATTAGTTTTGTAATGTAATGACAACTGTTAGCCTCATTTCTTTTAGTGTGTTCATTTTTGATAGTCTTTGCTGGAAACATGCCATGAAATGTGCCTAAACAAACTGAGAGCACATTATTACCTTCATTTTTCATTGAATGCCGAACGGCAGATTTAATTTGACTAGACAGTTGGAATATCATTAGTTTCCCATGGAGGAAAAACCCACGTGAATAGAAATGATATTTATGAGTGTTAAATGCAGCACTTAGACTAATATGTAATGTCATTTCGTCTGTCCTTTATTTATTTCCCATTGAGGTTACTCGTAAATTGCCGCTGAAGTTGGTGTCGATAGTGACAGAAACGACATACTTCACTCTTAATATTTATTATCAATTACATACACTCTAAAGTTGTCACTGGGGTGACCTAAAGAGTCCATATTAGTACCTTAACGGTACAAAAGTGTGCCTTTTGAAAAGGTACCGCCCCAGTGACAGCTTTTGTACCTTTTTTTCTGAGAGTGTAGGATGGAAAAACCTAAAGGAGTAATTCACTGCTGACAAGATGGGCTTTTAATAAAACTTGTGTAAACAATGTCAAAACGACTAGAAATGTTTTTTTTTTTTTTAATCTATGCTACAAAAAACTTGATATCTAGGTGCAGATATCACGCAGACTAAAACAATAAGCCCCAAGAAGCCGTGGTTTACAGTGAATATATAACAGCTAAGGGGCGTTGTTAGGTACGACGTGAAGCGGAGCTTATTGCTTTTATAAAACGGTTATTCCATATACGTAGTTAGGTTTCACTAAATCAAACAGAGCAAATAAAGTGTAATGATATTAATAAAAACATTATTCTTCCACCAAACAATGTAGCTCCTCAGAAACAGTTGTGGTTGCTACAAAGTGGTTGCCGAGCAACAGACAAACGTAAACAAAGGTGTATGTTACTTTGTAGAGTCATTTACAACAGCTTCGAACGTGGCTCAGCCAATCAGAATCAAGGACCGGAACTCTCTGTTCCAGTAACGATACAAAGCTGGGTGAAAATCTGTGAACTTGTCATTCAGTGAATCTTCACTTTTATGCTTAAAATCCTGGGAAGAATTCTTCTGCATGTGTGTATGTGTGTAAGCAAACAAACGATGCGACTGCCTTCTGTAATGCACTCCTGCAGGTGGTGTACAAGAACAACGACTTCAAGCTGGAGCTGTCGCGTCTGGCCATCGAGAGGGACCCTAAGATCAGTGTGCACGGGGACCTGGTGTTCCGCTGCGAGGATGTGGCGGCCCTGGACCCCGTGACCTTCGAGACGGCCGAGTCCTACATCGCCCTGCCGCGCTGGGACACCAAGAAGACCAGCTCCATCTCCTTCGACTTCCGCACCACGGAGCCCAGCGGCCTGCTGCTGTTCAGCCACGGCAAGCCTCAGAGCAGCAAAGAGCAGCGGCCCGGCCGCGAGATGAAGACCGACTACTTCGCCATGGAGCTGCTTGATGGCTTTTTCTACCTGCTGATGGACATGGGCTCCGGCAGCATCAAGCTCAAGACCAGCAACAAGAAGGTGAACGACGGAGAGTGGTGCCACGTGGACTTCCAGAGAGAGGGACGGAGAGGTGAGGAAAACACGCTCACAGAGCTTCACACGGACTCAGGTTCACCTGCATGATTTCACTTGAGTTCAAACAGCCAAAACAAGCATGGGATGAACTATTGGCATGTTTCTGTAGACTATTGTAGTGACCGTTGACTATTATCGCAGTAAGGTGGATAGCTAACTAAATAACTAAAACTGAAATAAAAATGAATAAGAACTACATAGACGTATATGATTGTAACGGGGCAAACGAGACGTGAGACATGCGGATCCATATGCAAGGCTTTATTTCCAAGACGTGGTCATATAACAGGCATGGGTCAAACAATGGCAAACAGGTTTAACGTGGGCAAGACACAAGAGTAGTCCAGTAAACGGGCGTGGGCGATCTCCGGCGAACAATGTCCAAACAGGGTAATCCAAAGGGGTAATCCGAAACACAAGCGATAGTCCAGGCGAGAGGTAAACAGTATCTGAACAGGGTGAGACGAGAGGGGTAATCCAAGACAGGCGAAATCGTTCAGGGCAGGCAGAGAACAGGCGAAACTAGAGAACAGGCTAGAGTACAAACACAGGAGAACAGACTATGAAGGCTAGACTCAGAAAACTTGGAATGGCTCCGTAAAGTAGCTATCGCTGGAAGAGTGATAAGTGCTAAACAATACTCGGCAGTGAGAGAGAGGAAGTCCATGGCTTATGTAGGGTGTGTGATTGGCTGCAGCCGTGTGTGTAATCAGAGTGAAATGGATTGTGGGAACTGAAGTCCAGGGTGAGTGTGACAGTCTGTGTAGTGTGAGAGTCCATGTGGTGGATAATGACCTCTGGTGGTGAACAAACGGAAGTCATAGACCGGATTCGTGACAATGATGATGATGATGATGATGACAAAAAAACAAAGTTTAGCGAGCTTGAAAACGTGATGACTGTATGACTCTAAAATAATCTCAGTGCAGCATGGTTCATGCCACTTATAACGTGCATTAGCAAACACAGCGTGCAATTCATTTGCACATTCATCATTCACATCATTTACAACTTCATGGTGGATGATCAGTAACGAGAAGCATTGTCAACTAAACTGTCTTTTCTGCATAAATAAATAACTTGAGGGTTTAATGCTTAAAAGTGAAGAATTTAAGATATATTAGTATTGTAACATTTTATGTAAAATAAAACTATTGTAATTATCGAATGTTATTATTTTTTTTATTTTAAAGAACTATTAAAGTACTAGTTTTATTGCAATAGTATATTTCTGTCCAAATTTCCATATTTAGATTTAATAATAATAATATAAAAAATATTATTACTGAAATGATCTCTGTGTTCCTTTTGCCTGAATGCTTCAGCAGCAGCTATAATCAAGCGTAGCGTTAGTTCTGGCAGGTCACGTTAGTCAAGCTCGCATCAGCTGACTCTCAGCTGATCCCCATCTACCTATGGGAATACGACACCTATCTAAGTATTCATATATAAGGTCCCTCAGTATTATCAGCAGTTTTCGCATTGCTCAATAGCTAATTACCCTCCTCCATCCCCAGCTCCTCCTCTGTCAGTCAGGGTTCAGCCTTCTGATTCTCCTTGAATCAGACTAATTCTAAAATATGTACATAACATTATTGAACTTTAACGATATCTGCAATACATTTATGTTAGTTCTGTTCTGTTTACCCTGGGGGGGTTATTGCTGCTCTCCCTGCTCTCATCCATGCTAGGCTGCATGGAGGCGCAGGGAGTTCTTGCCCAGAACGGAACCATACCGCCAATCCAAACTGTATGCTAATTGTCAATCATCTTTGACGATAGTGGTCCTGACAGAAGTAGACATTTTCTTATGAGAATTAATCATACTGCAGTTCAAATTGCAAATACATGCCAAAATAATCACATTTTTTGATGAAGTCGTGCAGCTATATTCAGTAAATAAATAAATAAATAAATAATTAATCAAAATAAAACACAAAACATGGAATATTTTGTTTTCCTGCACGTCATCCTGAACCGTAATCATCATTTATTTTCACTTATGCATTCGGCAGACACTTTTATCCAAAGCGACTCACATCGCATTCAGTTTTTGTATCAGTTCAAGCATTCCCTGGGAATCGAACCCAAGCCGCACTCTAGTGTTTGAGCTACAGAAATACTGTAAACATACAAATTAATCTTAAACGTGTTCGGCTGCTTTAGAAGATTCACTCCTGCACTTATCGCTCCTAAAATGAGACACCGTGAAGTCCCTTCGACGCTGAGCTCTGCTGCCAAAGGCTGCTCCATTTGCTGTGATGGGCTAATTGAGTGTAAGACTAGAGGAGGTGGGTGTGTGTCCTGTGGGGAAGAAAGTCCAGCAGTTTTGTAATTGCAGTTTAATAGACAATTAAGAGTAAGTCATAAATCTCGGCGATCTACCGAGAGAGCAGCGCTCATGCTGAAACACTCACTCGTGGAAACACACATGGCTCATGCACGCTTCTCCTCCTTCTTCTTCTGGTCAGGCTCCATCTCCGTCAACAGCCGCTCCATTCCCTTCAGCTCTAACGAGGGCAGTGAGATCCTGGACCTGGACAGTGACATGTATCTGGGTGGTTTGCCGGAGAGCGGTCAGGGCCTGATCCTGCCGCCCGAGGTGTGGACCGCGCTGCTCAACTACGGCTACGTGGGCTGCGTCCGCGACCTCTTCATCGATGGCAAGAGTCGAGACGTGCGGCGTCTGGCGGAGATCCAGAGTGCGCCGGGCGTCAGCAGCTTCTGCACGCGTGAGCTCCAGAAGAGGTGCAGCAGCGCCCCCTGCGCCAACGGAGGACAGTGCAAGGAGGGCTGGAACCGCTACATCTGCGACTGCACCGGCATCGGATTCCTGGGAGACAACTGTGAGATCGGTGGGTAAAACTAATGACAAATACCACAAAACACAGGTGCTAATGACATAAACAGTGCGGAATGATTTCCTGCTAGTCAAGGCACAGAAATTGAATAAAGTCATAAGAAGTAAAATGACACTGCACTGTATATATTAAATATTGATTTTTTCTTCACCCCCAAAATTAAAAACAATCCTCACACTCAGGTCTATCCCAGATCAGGATGAGTTTGTTTCTTCATCAGATTTGTAGAAATGTAGCACTGCATCAGTGTCTCAGCAATGGATGCTCTGCAGTGAATGGGTGCCGTCAGAATGAGAGCCAAACAGCTGATAAAAACATCACAATAATCCACAAGTAATCCACAGCACTCCAGTCCATCAGTTAACATCTGGAGAAGACAAAAGCTGAGACAAATCCAGCATTAAGACGTTTTTAACTCAAATATCATAGAGTCCATAATCCATAATAACGCTTCCTCCAGTGAAAAAGTGTTCTGGTGTGAATCAGGAGAGAAATCTGCACAGATCAAGCAGCGTTTAAACAGCTCTAAACACATATGTGGCTGGATTTTGATGTGAGAGACAACAGGAGATGCACTTTTTCACTGGAGGAAGCGTTATTATAAATTATGGACTCGTGCTTTAGAAAAAAAACGTCTGAATGATGGATTTGTTTCAGTAAAGTCATCTTTTAGCTTAAGGCGCCTAAACACTCAAATACACGCAAAAATGTGTCAAAATGCGGCACTTGGTGATTATTCACATAAACAATCATTGGTTATGTAATAAGTGAACGTAAAACAGTTGAGAATCAAAATATGTGCATAACAATAAATTGAATCTGTGCAGCTCTTAAAGTGACAGCAGCCTAATATTCCTGGCTATGTCTTAAGTGAACGTAAACAGTTGAGAATGAAAAAACGTGTGTAACAGTAAATTGGATCCATGTGGCTCTTAAAGTGACAGCAGGCTATTTCTGCTGCCGACTGTGTGCTTCATATTAATCAAACAACAAAAGACAGAGAGAAAATCACTCACTCTTCTCGACTGAAGGACTTTTGTAGCTTTAATAAGAAACAAAGGACGCTTAATTCTTACAGTGAAGACTATGCCGTTTTATTTTACATTCAATTATTCCGTTTCTGTAGCAGGCTGTTCGCTGAATATTGAAGCTGTGGTATTGAAAATTGTGGCGTTTCGCTGGTCTCTAGAATGTAGATGTCATTGCAACCTTATTTACAGAAAATATATATTTGATATACTGTATATCGCTATCTTTAAATAAATCACTCGTATAAAGTTTTGGTCATGTGGCCCACTCATAATCGTGTTAAATAATCATGATTACAATATTGACCAAAATAATTCTCATTATGATTTTTGCCATAATCGAGCAGCACTAGTTTATGTGTCCATTCAAGTGCAAGAAGAAGCAAAGCAAACCCAATAAAAAACAACTTCAAAAAGGCGCCTCTCACTGAAAAAAAAAAAAAAAAAACGCGTTCTGTCTGATCAGGGCCTAATGGAGTTCGGTTTCGCGTATTCTTGCAGTTAAATGTTTCAGAAATGTTTAGATCAGCGAGACTGAAAGCGCGTGCAGAACACGACAGACAGGATCATGTAAATCTCATGCATTGCACTGAAGTCACACTGTGTCGCTGTAGTCTTTCAGCTGCCAGAGCTCGAGCAGTGATTAATCAGGGCTGTTTGGGATTCGGACTGTTTAAGAGAATATTTATTTTCATCTTTTTAAAAGCCAGATGTTGTGTAAAGCTGTTTTCTTTACTGTGCTGATGATCTCTGAAGGCTTCAGAGCACACTTTACTGCCTCCGCGTGTCAGCGGGCGGAATTACACTCGCAGATGTGTTAGTGTGTGTTTGTACTGTATGTTTGTCAGATCTGTCAATGGTAGGTAAATGTACACAATTTAATGTCTTTAAATATACTGCTCACGAAACTGTATTCTGCGTTAATGATTTATATCTTCCTGAGACCCAGCTATGGGGTTTTTGTCTCTGTAGTGGACATTATATTTTAGTGACCTCACTTGTCACAGCTGTAAGTCTGGGTGTCCTGTAAGGAGCACATTCAGGGCTTTTCAGAGAGACCAAATGTTTGGAGGTTTCACCATGATCACTCCCTCTGGTCGGTCTTTAAAACTGACTGACATTAATTTAGGGATAAAATTGTACATTCTTATGGAAATATGATAATATTTTGTAATTATCATTTAATATCATCTGATTAATTTTCTAATTGTTTGTCATAAATCAACATCTCAGGAAAATGTTATGGGGTTTCAAATCAAAATATGACTTCCTTTTATGAAACAGGATATTGATTTCATACATGTCCAGTGTAGAGGATAGCAGGACTAAAAGTGTGTTTATTACACATTCTTGGAGACACAACAAATGAATAGGAAAATAAATTATATAGCAATATTCTTATGAAATATTATGAAAATCGGGCCAATTATTACTCCCATTATTACACTTCTTTTTTCAACATGCTATCCCAACAGCACATTAATATGCAAATTAGGTGCAGTGTATAGATAACATTGTGTTTAATGGGAAAACCAGTTTATGGAAATTTTACACACATATTGCAATATATATATATATATATATTTTTTTTTTTTCAGTTCATAAATGAATAATTGCAATTTTCTCTCATTTTTTCAATTTTACTTTTGCTAAATCGTGACTTCAGAAATGATCGTTTTTCCATTTTTTTCCTTGCAATTTGCGCTGTGGGCTGTACCATTAGCGTGGGGGTGTGGCCACGGATAGTGCCACAAACGCTTAACGTGGCTTAATCTATCCTACTAAAACAGTGAGGACATGCCTTATTAATAAAACATAGGCTACTATTTACAGACAAGAAGAATAGCCCAGAATATGAAAGCAATTAATGCGCTAAATTGCACGTTAAGTGTTTTGTCACCCATTGAAAAACATTATAAAGAAAATGCTAAACGTGGCACAGGAAAGAAGACAGTGATGTAAAAATCCCAAATTCTGTATATTTAATAATACAATTTGTTAATAAAGTTACTAGGTACAGGAAAGCAGATGAGAATATGAACGTAACATGCTGAATTGCACGTTTTCCTCCTATAGGCCTAATGGAAGAAGATAGTAGTATAAAAACGCCAAATTCGATATACACCTTATTAATGTTGCAAACTATATTGCCGACTGGGAAGCAGATGTGAATATGAACTCAACATGCATAAGTGTTTTCCTCCCATAGAAAACTATAATTTGAAAATGCTTAATGTGACTTAATGCATTAAGACAGTAATTAAAATACCAAGCAAAGCATAGGCCTACGCCTTATTAAACAAAGCATAAGCTACTATTTACAGACAAGCCGAAGAGCCCAGATGTGTTTTTTTTTGTTGGCTCATCTGCTTTCCTGTACGTAGTATATATTTTATTAATAAACTGTATACTGAATTTGGGCTTTTTATATTTATATTTGTATGGTCTTTGTCCACTGAGCCACATTAAGCGTTTATAAGTGCTTAATGTGCTTAGCGTGCAATGTATTGCTTCCATATTCTGGGCTATTCTGCTTGTCTGTATATATGCTTTATTAATAAGGTGTGTACTGAATTTGGACCTTCAATGTCACTGTTTTAGTAGGCTACATTACATTAAGCATTTGTAAAACAGTCTGCGGCCATACCCATACTATTGGTACAGCCCACAGCGCAAATTACAGGAAAAAATAGAAAATCGTTTAGATTTCATTTATTCATTTATCATTTCTGAAGTCACGAAAAAATATGAAAAAAATAACGTTCGGTTTAATTTTTTTGGTATAAAAAAATCCTGAAACCTAAAAATTGATTAGTGATTTTTTTTGAAATCCCATTGTTTTTGCCTTTTCATGTCTATTCATGTTATTAAATTGAATCAGTCAATTAGAATAATAAGTCATCTGGGCAGTTACCAAGCAAATGAAATCAGTATTGACAAAATTAATCTTTGCAATGCAGAGGAAACACAGAAGCTGCATTAGAAGGGACATTGATGCATTTACACACTGTTTAATGCAGGGCATGAATTCATTTAACCTGCAGTTACAAGTGCATTAATAATGTTTTGATATTTTAAACATAAAACATTAACTACTGATATTTGAAATTATTTTTTAAAAATGAAGATACTTTAAATGTGAAATTAAAACTACCAGTAGGTGGCAGTAAGTCACTGTTAATAAGTGAGTCATTGCGACTGAACCGAATCATTTAAACGGTTGATTCATTCAGGAATGATCTCATGGCTTAGTCTGTTGTTCATCACCACTCACCTCCACACCAAGACAAACACAACTGAAAAGGGAGGGCTTCACTTCTGCGACTCTCTGCATGTCTGTGATGTGATGTGCAGCTGATCAAATGTGCGCTACACTGCTGTGTTGCGGAGGGAGAAAGGCATCAGAACTCGACACTCGACAGTCTCAACATTTCCTGACCCGACCTGATATTTAGATTTTTTTATTTGTTTGACGGGGACAGCTGTGTGCAAACAGAAACACATGCACACATATATTCGTTTATTTAAAAAAAAAAGAAAAACTCCCAAGTAAAAAGGGCACTTTTTCTCGAGGAAGAAAAAGGGCAGATGCTCAAGCCCCCTTTGATGTCTATGTGTGCACGTGCCTGCCTCTACAGAGGACATAATATAACATATGAATAACATATATTTTTTCAAAAATGTTATTTTTCCATTTTTTTCTTATGCTCTAAACAATGTAATGACATGAAAAAATACTAAATTCACAAAGCTTTTTTTCTGGTTCTCAGGGGGATGTGTTTATATATTATTTATAATAGATGTAATATATTTATCATTATTTATAAACACACACACACATATATTGTCACGCACCGCTACTCTGAGGAGCACAGAGCGAGGAATGAGGAGACGAGGAGTAAACTTCCAACGAACAGACTTTATTTGACACCAAAGGAACCAGGAACACACGTATAGGGGAGAGAG